GTGTGGTGGTGGTGGGGGGTTAAGAGAGAGAGTTGAGGCCTCAAGGGCGCCTCCCCAGAGGATACCAGAGCTCTCGCCCCCCAACCCCCTCAAGACGCTCACCTGCAAGCGCTTCATGGCCTCCGAGTCCTGATCTGCTTTGACCTTGCAGGCCACCAGAAGCTGGGCCGTGGAGGCGGCCACCTGCTTGGCGGAGGAGATGAGCTTCTCCTCGCTGGCGTGGCCTTGGACCGCGGCGTTGGCCGCCTCACACAGGTTGTTGGTGGCGGCCGCCACCATCCGAGCCTGCCGGGCGGGAGAAAGGCAGGAAGGGAAGGAGAGGAAGGAGAGGGCTAGAGCCCAGGGCTGCAGCAAAAGCAGAGGCTCCCGACCCCCCCCCACCCCCCCCCGCGTGGGAGAAGGGAGCAGGGCTGGGGGGGGCGAAGCCATGAGGTGACCAGCCATGAGGAGGCCCGGCTGGCCGGCTCCCCCCTGCTCCTCAGGCCACCTTTTCAGGCCCCATTTGCCTCTCACCTCCCCCCCCCCACCTGGGATTCAGGTCTAGCTGAACTAACACAGGCCCGAGGGTTGTGGGAGGTTTCTAGGAATCATCTTCCCAGAGCCTGGGTGGGCTCGGTGGCAGAACAGACGGGTGTTTTTTTTTAAATTGGCCGTCGTGCAGGCCTGTGCTCTTTTGCACGAGGTGCCTCTTGCTGGGTGGGATCCATCTTCAGCCAAGCATCAACCAACTTTCTTTGTGGTCTCTGGTTCTCCTGTTTAAAACTCTTACTCCCACTAGATATCCCCTACAAAATATCACCCTTTTCCCCACTCCCACCGCTTTGGGCCCTTCGATACTCACGGCTGAAATGAGGCCCTGGGACCACTGCCCGTCATCCAGCGCGTTCGCCGGGATGGCCCCCACCTGGGAAAAAGAGGAAGGGCCGTGAGGGAGGCCAAGGGGACTCCCTCGAGGTTGGGCCAGCTGCCTCCCCCCCAACCCCCCCCTGCAGGACCCTAAAGACCCCACCACTCACCTTCCCTTGCGCCACCAGCTCCCTCTGGGCCGCCGAGGCTGCTTTGACCAGGGCGCTGGTGGCCGCGGCGATGGACTTGGCCGCCTCCAGAATCTGCTCCTCAAAGTTGAGGCTCTCGTCCGCCTGCTGCTTGGGGAGAGGTGCTGGATCAGTGGGGAGAGAGGGGCAAGAGAGAGGGGCTTGGGGGCCTCGAGGGGAGGGGGCGGCAGGGGTTCACGGTGCGTTTGTGTGTGTGTGGATGGGGGCCTCTTGGCACTGGGGCGTGATTCCAAAGCAAGACCCGCTATCCAACCTGCTCTCCCCCCCCGGATGCCTTGGTTGAACAGCTGGGAGCAGAGGCTGCTGCAACTGCGGGCAGGAAGGGGCTCTTTGCCCAGAGCTCAGAGAGGACCCAAAAATGAAAAATGGTTGGGAGGCAAATTCTGTCAAGTACGGCCCTTCCAGGAAATCCCTGGCTTGTTCGGTGATAATTTCCCCGTACAAAAAGCGAAGGAAGAAACCAGAGGAGTAGTTATCCTGGACTTGATTCTAACCAAAAGAGATGCCTTGGTGTAAAAAGTGGCAGCAAGAGGAGAACTCTGGGTGAAAGTGCTCACGTTCTGCTTGAGTTCGTGATTTCAAAGGAAACAAAAGCAGAGTGTCGCCATGTGTAGACGCTGGATTTTCGGAAAGCCAATTTTAATAAACTCAGAGCGATGACAGGTAAGGTCCCATGGCAGGACATCAGATGGGTGGGAGTTTCTTTAAAAAGAAATTCTAAAGGGACAAAAATTAACAATTCCAACAACAACAACAAAGGTGGGAGACAGCAAAAAAAGAAAAGCCCAGTGTGGCTTCATGAAAAGCTCAGAGAGGACCTGAAAACAAAAAAAGGACACATATAGGAAGTGGAAAGAAGGCCAGGCCACAAAAGAGGAGTACAGACAAGTACTGTAGCCAGGAATTGCAGGGATGCCCAAAAGCTCAGAGAGGACCTGAAAAGAGACAAGACCGCAACTCCTCCTTTTTCTTAAAAAGGACCAAAGCTGGCTGACATCAATAAAAGACAACATTTAAATGCTAGAAACAGAAGGTATACACAAATTTAAAAAGAATCAAATACCACACTAAAATGGTAAACAAAATCAACACCAAAAACATATTTAAAGTAATAAGGCACAAGAATCCATTTAAAAACCTCTGTCAGACAGCCAGACACCATCAGAAAGCCTGCCCAAAGCGAAAGGCCTTTGTCTGCTTGTGGAAGGACAGCCAAGATGGGTGGGGGGAGGGGCAGCCCTTTCCTATGTCTTCCCCAAACGCACCTGGGAGGGTGGTGCAGCTGAGAGAAAGGCCTCCCTTTCCTTATAGGAAGTGGAAGGAAGGCCAGGACACAAAGGAGGAGTACAGAAAATTAACAAAGAATTTTGGGGATGGTGTTAAGGGAAGTCAAAAGCTGAGAATGAGCTGAGGTTATCAAGAGATGCTAAAAGCAACAACAACAAAAATCATTCCTTAGGCATGTACATAGAAAAGACCGAGAAAAGAAACAGTGGCTCAGCTACTCAATGGGGATGAGAAAATGATAACAGGCAAAGAAAAGGCAGAACTGCTCAATTCCTATTTCAGACCAGTCTTTTCTCAAAAGGCAGTCCAAGACTCTCCAAGCAAATGTGAAGTACAAAAGGAGGATTGCAGCTTGCGACTGATAAACAGCTAGTCAAGGAATGCCTTGCTACTTACTCTGAATGAGTTTAAATCTCCAAGACTGGATGAATTGCATCCAAGAGTATTGAAGAAACCGGCTGAAGAACTCTCAGAACCACTATCTTATTATTTTCTTGAAATCTTGGAGGACAGGTGAAGTGCTGGAGGTGCTGAAGATGACTGGAGGAGGGCAAACCTTATCCCTAACTTCAAAACGGGCAAAAAGGAGCAAGCAGAGAACTACAGGCTGGTCAGCCTGACATTAATCCCATGAAAAAGTTTGGAACAGAGTATAAAACAGTCACTCTGCAGACACCTTGAAAACAATGCAGTAAAAACTAGAAGCCAATATGAACTTGATCTCATTCTTTGATCTCATTCTTTGATTCAGATAACCTCTCTGGTAAACAGAGGGAATGCAGCAGGTGTAATATATCTTGACATTGCTGAATATAAGCCAACAATGTGTTGTGGTTGCAAAAAAAGCAAAACCTTTTTTTGGCTGCATTAATAGCCTCCAAATGGCATGAAGTACAAACTCCTCTCTATTCAGCACTAGCTAGGCCTCATCTTCAGTGTTGTGTCCAGTTCTGGATATTACATTTCAAGAAGTATATTGACAAACTGGAACAAGTTCAGAGAAAGGCAACAAGGATGATCAGAGAACTGGAAACCAAGCCCTAGAAGGAAAGAATAAAAGAACTGGGCATGTTTAGCTTTGAGCAAAGAAGACTGAGGGGAGATACATTAAGAGACAGAAAGGCCGTCATACGGCGGAAGGGCAGGATCTGTTCTGAATCACATCCCAGAGTGCAGGACACCTAATGATGTCCTCAAGCTAAAGGAAACCAGATTTCGACTGGATATCAGGAGAAACATCCTAACTGTTAGATGGGAACGATGATGGGACCCATGACCTCCGGGGGAGGTGGTGGTGAGCGCTCCAGTGCAGGAGGCCTTCAAGAGGAAATCAGACAACCACCACCTGTCGGATCTGCTTTGATTTGGATTCCTGCCTTGAGCAGGGTTTGGACTCAGTGGCCTTACGGGCTGGTTCTAGGATTCTCTGATGGGAAGAAATGTCCTTTTGAACCAGCACGACAGGGTGTGCCTCGGGGCACGCACGCACTACGTGGAAAGAGAGAGAGCAGGTGGGAGAGGTGAGCCGCCTCCCAGAAGCGCTCCCTGAACCCCCTCTGGCTGCTTCTTGCCACCTGTGGGAGGGCAGAGACACGGCAGGACCCCCCCCCGCCGCACCCTCCTTCGGCCACTTTGTGTGGGCCAATGAGCAGGAGGAGGCCTGGCAAGCCTGGCGCCCAAGGCGAGCTGGGATGGGGGGGCGGGGAATGAGCCGGGGGGGCACCCGACCTTGGGCTTGGCCCGGGGCTGGAGCTGCTCCAGTTTCTTGGCGGCGGCCTCTATGGCTGCGGCTGCTCCCAGCAGCTCGTTCTCAGCGATGACTGTGGGGTCCTCGGGATCCACCCACTCGGTTCCTGGTGGAGGCAGGAGAGGAGAGAGGCCGTGAGGAGACCCTGCTCTCTTCCCGTCCCCTTGCTTTCCTCTTCCCTCCCTTCCCCTCCCCTCTTCTTCCCACCCCACATTCTTCTCTGCTCTGGCAAAGCAAGCACTTCGGCCAGTAACCCTG